AGGCCAATCAAAGGCAATCAAGGGAACAATCAAGGGAACAAGGTCAGGCACTCAGTCCCAACTGCCATAGCAGCTGTAACTGAAACTGAAGTCACCTGAAATCAGAATCACAATTAAAATTCAAACAGTCGAGCAAACTCACTCACACCAACAGCTAGTACTCTCGCCTCTCACCTGGTAGCCTGTTTGTCAGCGGGATCTCTTGCTCTCCCTCTCAAACGCCCCTGTCTGCAGCCCCCTATGAGAAGGTCATGTGAAATAGTATCAAAAGCCTTACTAAAGTCAAGATATGCCACATCTACCACTTTCCCCCTATCCTCAAGACTTGTTACCCTGTCAAAGAAGCTATTAGGTAGGTTTGACACGATTTGTTCTTGACAAATCCATGCTGACTGTTACTTATCACCTTATTATCTTCTAGGTGTTTGCAAATTGATTGCTTAATTATTTGCCCCATTATCTTTCCGGGTACTGAAGTTAAGCTGACTGGTCTGTAATTCCCTCGGTTATCCTTATTTTTATAGATTGACACTTTGTTTGACCTTTTCCAGTCCACCCATCTTCCATGACTTTTCGAAGATAATCACTAATGGCTCAGATATCTCCTCAGTCAGCTCCTTGAGTATTCTAAGATGTATTTCATAAAGCCCTGGTGACTTGAAGACATCTAATTTGTCTAAGTAATTTTTAACTTTTTCTTTCCCTATTGTAGCCTCTGAACCTACCTCATTTTCACTGGCATTCACTATGTTAGATGTCCAATCGCTACTAACCTTTTTCGTGAAAACCAAAACCAAAATATCATTTAACACTTTTTCCATTTCCACATTTTCTGTTATTGTTTTCCCCTCCTCATTTAGTAATAGGCCTACCCTGTCTTTGATCTTTCTCTTGCTTCTAATGTATTTGTAGAATGTTTTCTTGTTACTCTTTATGTCTCTAGCTAATTTAATCTCGTTTTGTGCTTTGGCCTTTCTAATTTTGTCCCTACATGCTTCTGTTATTTGTTTATGTTCATCACTTATAATTTGAACTAATTTCCACTTCTTGTAGGGCTGTTTTTTGATCATCGAAGAACTCCTTGTTAAGCCAGGATGATCTCTTGCCATACTTCCTATCTTTCCTATGTAGTGGGATAGTTTGCTCTTGTGCCCTTAATAATGTCTCTTTGAAAAACTGCCAACTCTCTTGAACTGATTTTTCCTTAGACTTGCTTCCCATGGGATCTTATATACCGATTCCCTGCATTTGCTAAAGTCTGCCTTCTTGAAATCCATTATCTTTATTGTGCTGTTTTCCCTCCTACCATTCCTTAGAATCATGAACTCTACCATCTCATGATCACTATCACCTAAGCTGCCTTCCACTTTCAAATTTTCAACCAGTTCCTCCCTATTTGTCAAAATCAAATCTAGAACAGCGTCTCCTCTAGTAGCTTTCTCCACTTTCTGAAATAAAAAAATGTCTCCAATACATTCCAAGAACTTGATGGATAATCTGTACTCTGCTGTGTTATTGTCCCAACTGACGTCTGGGTAGTTGAAGTCCCCCATCACCACCAAGTCCTGTGCTTTGGATAATTTTGTTAGTTGTTTAAAAAAGCTTCATCCACCTCTTCTTCCTGGTTAGGTGGTCTGTAATAGACCCCCTACCATGACATCACCCTTGTTTTTTACTCTTTTATCCTACCCAGAGAGCCTTTAAACAAGTATGTCTCCTATTTCCATCTCAACCTCAGTCCAAGTGTATACATTTTTAACATATAAGGCAACACTTCCTCCTTTTTTTCCTTGCTTGTCCTTCCTGTACTAGCTGTACCCTTTTATACCAATATTCCAGTCCTGTGTATTATTCCACCAAGTCTCTGTGCTGCCAGTTGTGTCATAGCTGTGTTTATTAACTAGCATTAACAAGTTCTTCCTGCTTATTCCCCATACTTCTCGCATTAGTATACAGACATAAAATATACTGATTTGCTTTCCCCTCTATGTTCTTCCTTGTCTCCCCTTATCCCTGCTATAACAGCCCATGCTTCCCCCAGCCCACAGTTTATGACCCTTTTCATGAGAATAGACAGTGAAAACAGACTAGCTGCTCTTCCTTTTATAATGCACTATCATAACGTTGCAGTATCTCATTTGTAGACACTACAAGGAATTGTTCTGAGGCCATAAACCCCCTTGACTTAAATGTATCAAGGCTAAAAATGGAATTGTGCAAAATATATGCTAACACAGAAAACACACCTCTGACAGAATGGGTGTGATGAGTGGCATGCAAATATCTTTTTTCTGATAAACACTCCAGGTTTGATAAGAACGTGATGGAGAGTAAGACAGCAGGACACTTCCCTTTGGAGCGCCAAGCAGACAAAAGACAAAGGACATAATTCCTCTTGTAAGTGCAACACCCATGTAAGTAACTTTAGACACAAATAGTTTTAAAAACCAAAGGGTCTCGCTCCTCTTTTCACTTGCTATTGAATAATTAATAACAAGATTAATACATATTAATAATCATATAATAATATTTTCACTTTTTTACATTTCTTTACCTGAATGGTTCTGTTTCATATCCATATGTTTCTTTCAGTGCAAAGAAAGAAATTAGAAATTACCAGTTCAGGAAACACTGTGATCAATTATGCTTTTTCTCATCTGTGATATGAAGGATTGTGTTTTTGTTGCTATAATTACTTTCTTCCTGTGTCTCTGATATGATACATTTGTGCTTAATATAGCTTCAATTCCTTGCCAGACAGTGCAAGACTTTAAAGGGAGAAATTCTCAGGCAACAAAAGAACTGAAAATGTCTTAGTTAGAGCTACAGCTTTATCTTAAATTTTAATTTCCTATAACATATTTATTTTTGTCTGAGCAGAAAAACTAACTGTTCATAGCTGTTTATAAAATATAAAATACACTCTTCATAACTCTTGTTAGAACATGCAATAAATATATCTTAAATTCATTTTATAACATGCTTTATAATCCATTAGTAAAGGACATAGCTGCCTTTGTTAATCTTTTAACAACTATTATTATTAAAATGACTATTTCCAATTTTTAGGGCAATAAAATGGAGCAGGAATCAATTCTAGAGGAGCTTCTTTTAAAGAAGTCGCAACAGAAGAAAAAAATTTCACCAATTAATTACAAAGAACGACTGTTTGTTCTCACAAAAACAAACCTCTCTTACTATGAATATGACAAAGAGGTGAGAAATCATTTTCTTAACTACAGAGGTACATATTTTTCTAAAGTAAGTTTATGCCTCTGGATTTTCTTCCTCAATGTGCTTTGATTAGATATCATATAGTAGGGGTAGTGATATCTTTTGTTCCAAGTGGGATTTAAAAATGGTATGGGACCAAAATCTGGCCTTGATTCAGGATAGCACTTAAGAATGTGTTTAAGTCCACCCCTATTCAGCACAGAACTTAATGATGCTTAATCTTAGGCATATGGTTAAATCTCATCAAAGTCAATGGGACTTAGGCACATGCCTAAAGTTAAGCACATGCCTTGAATAGGGATGTTTTCCTGAATCAGGGTCTCTGTGGTGAATTATATCTGGCATTGGTTTCAAGTCATTTGTACAGGAGATAGCTCAGTGCAGAATTTGGCCCATAACTGATATAAAGTAAAAGGCTAAAGCGTGTGATCGTATTTTAAAAAGTGATTATGTATCAAACAAATGGTTGGTACTTTCAGCAGAGTGGCCTCTTTTGTGCATTCAGAGATAGCTCTGAAGCGACTAAAATACATTGTTACCATCTGCACTCCTGATAGCACATTTGGATTACTCCTGTTAGTTACAACTCATTGTCTGAATAAGGGTGGCAGGATCGATGCCAGTATCTTAACAAAATAATGTAATACAAAATCAGACTCTCATTTCCCATTAGAGACTTTTGCATTTTATATCCTCCATCTCTGCTTTTGCATTGTAATACCGAAGTTCATGTACCAGATGTAGGGCCCATCCTGTTGTCTTTATACCTTGACTTGAAAGGGAGTTTTGTCAGTATATGGATTGCAGGATAAGATACAACGGAGGGTTTTCAATGTCTTTCCCAAGCAGTTTAACAAAAGTGGAACTCTACTTTACCCAATCTGAAGTGTGCAATTACACACAGCTTAGATTAAGTGTGATTAAGTTTTTATAAAACTTGTCATGACCATAAAGTATTTTTGATTTGAGGACAATAGTCCTGTATTTAGAATGATGAGTAGTCCTGCTTTGGCTTTTATTCTTAGAAAAAAGGAAGCAAAAAAGGATCAATTGACATTAAGAAAATTCGATGTGTTGAGGCAGTGAATCATGAGGAACAGGCACCTTTGGAGAGACAATATCCATTTCAGGTAAGATCACGAAATACAAAACTGATCTTTACTGTGGTGAACCATTATTTTTAGGACAAATAAGGGCTTGTGTCACTGCTGACTGTTACAAAAACTTACAACAGGTTGGAAATGAATCCTTGTTACTATAAACCTGACCCAAAGACCATCAAAATCAACGGGAGTCTTTTCATTGACTTCAATGGAATTTGGATTAGGACCTGTCTGTTTGTGCATTCATGTGTGTATAATAGTTTACTTATTTTGGTGTGATCCTATACACACACACGAATGGTGCATGTATTTGAATATTGAATATGTTTATTTTGTTGTGCAATACTGATCACAATTCATTTTCTGTTTTTAACCTTCCCCACCTGTCCTCCTTTCACTTTAGTGGCAAAAAGAAGTGCAGAACTTGGCCTTTTGATATTGAAACTATAGGTTGACCATTTAAATGCACAAGAGTCCAGAAATTCAAAGTTACGGTTCCCTCAGCAATTGAACCTCATCTAAATTGCACATTTCTATTAAACCTTATCTTTATCAACATATACAGTAATACCAATACTACATATGTGCATGGAAGCAAGGTCATATATGCTGCAAAAGCCATAACCTTGACTTTGCTGTCATTTGTACTGTATGTGTTAATTCTCAGAGATAGGTTCATTCCAAAGCCTATGCCAGAGCAGAGAGTCCTGGAGGCGGAGAGTCCATGAGGAGAAGAATATACAATAGTGCAAAGCAGCTGCAACTTCCCTTTGTGCCAAGGGTGGGGTGCTATAGTCTAAAATGGGCAACAGTGGCTTGGAAAGGGTGCATGACCTGGGCAGCAGAGGAGTTCATTAATTAACTGCCACCCAACAATTGCTACCCCTGGGGGTAACCCCAAGAGAGGGCAGCAGTGTTATTACTGTCTGATTTATCTCAGATTGAATACTCCTAACCCTCATTAAATAGTATTTTTATATTAAATTAGTTTGTTACTCTCATGATCACCTAATACACTCAAATATGGGGGAGAGAGGATGGGGAAGGAATGAAAGGTACATAGTGTACTTCCCATTTCTGATGAGAATGTGCAAGTTACTGAATTTAGGGTCTTATTATTCTCCTACTAATGCCAAAGGGAGTTTTGCCATTGGGAGCAGGATTGGTTCAGGCCCATAATGCCAGCTCACTTTCATGTGAAATGGGAGTATAACTATTTAACTCTGTTCTGGCTCATCACTGTCCTGGGCTTAGGGTTGCCAACCCTCCAGGATTGGCCTGGAGTCTCCAGGAATTAAAGATTAATCTTTAATTAAAGATTATGTCATGTGATGAAATCTCCAGGAATACATCCAACTAACACTGGCAACCCTGCCTGGGCTGCATGCATTTTGGTGTGAACAGGCCTGCGGAGCTTGATCCTAGGGTTTCTAAGTCCTTTACTTCTTTGTTTCCGTTACTCTAGGTCTTTATTTAAAAAAAAAGCTAATGAACTTTGAGAATAGGATAACTAGAATGAATTGTTTTCCCACCTCTTTTAGATTGTATACAAGGATGGCCTTCTCTATGTCTTTGCAGCAAATAAAGAGAGCCGAAATCAGTGGTTGAAAGCTTTACATAAAGGTAACATTTGTTTTTACCGTCTTGTGAAGCAACTTTTTTATAACATGGGGGGGAAGATTGTGTGTTCAGAGAAATCATCTGAATAAGGGAGTAGATGAATCTAGTTTCTTATTTTAATGCAATGGTTTTGTCAGCCATTTTCAGCTGCAATCTCGCTCCTCCATGCAACGGGACTGGAGTGGATGAGAACATTTCAAAAATTTCAATGAAAAGTGGTGGGAGGAAAAAATTCACAAAATTTCCCTGCTGGCATTTCCCCACCGGCATTTCCCCACCAACTCTAGTCTTTACTTAGTTTGTTCTGATTCTTTCCATGGTCTTTAACTGAGCAATGCTCCATCCATGCAATAAGTAGTGTGTAGGCAGAGTGCTGGGTCCCGTAAACCACAGTGAAGTCAATAGGATCTTTAGGAGAGGAGGAGTCCATCCACATACTACACATTGCAGTAGCACCCATTAAAGTCAATAGGAGGCTTTCCATTTACTTTAATGGACTTTGGGTCAGGCCCTGTTTATCCCCCAGTTGTCTCTTGTGGGCCCATGGGTGGAGTTGACTTTGAGCGTGTGGCTTTCTCCTTACCTACCACTGCAACGTTGTCCCTGGACGATCTGGGCAGAAGTGGGAGCTCCAATAGGCTACGTGCAATGTTTCTTCTAGAAACCAGGGACAGATTCTTTTGAATAATTCTTCTAAAGAAAAAATTGGTTTTGAAAGCCAGCAGGGACCCAGACTGGCAAGGGAACAAGGAAGAACCACAGGAAACCAGTAGGCAGTTTGGAGGCATAAAGACTTCCCCACTCATGGCCCTGACCTCTGGCAGATTGAGTTTTTGGTAGCTGAATCCTCTGCTCATTGCATTCACCCAACAGAATTATGTGATGGAAACTCCAGGATTTGTCTCTTCATGGGGCTTATTGTCCCCTAAACAGGGCCGGCTCAAGGGTTTTGGCCACCCCAAGCAGCCAAACAAAAATAAATAAATAAAAAGCCGTGATCGCGATCTGTGGCGGCAATTCGGCGGGAGGTCCTTCGCTCCGAACAGGAGTGAGGGACCGTCCGCCGAATTGTCGCTGAATAGCTGGACGTGCCGCCCCGCTCTGAAGTGGCCGCCCCAAGCACCTGCTTGGTAAGCTGGTGCCTGGAGCTGGTCCTGCCCCTAAATTGTCTTTTTCCTGATAGGAGAAAGATCTGACCTTGGTACCTCAGGATTTGGTCCAATATTTTCAGCTGAACATGTTAATAAGAGTGCTATTCAAACAAGATAGGTTTTTTAAAGAGAGTATGTGAGGAATACCACTTGTTCAGTATTGCATAAATCTTGTGACATGCATTATAGCAAAGTGATTACAATTTTCTAAGGAACTTTAAAAATAAAGTTCAGCTGTAAAAACAAGTAACAAAATTCTGTGGCCAAGATTTTGAACAATCATGCAGCAGCTCCCATGGTTCTGGGTGTGCAGCATTTTTGAAAAACAGGCTGTAACTTCAGGTGTCTAACCAGGGATTTAGGAGCCTAACTTTAAGCAATCATTTATAAACTCTTGCTCTACAGTTTTAAAATTATTTGTTTTATTATCTTTTAAAACAAATACTACAGCACTGATTCAAAAAACTACAGTGTCACTATTGCCAGTTATACTGTTTTGGGCCATTTCTATAGAATACTGGATTATTTTTTATATACAAGTAACAAATGTTTATTTAAGAGGTTTGATAAATAGAAAGTGTTACATTTTAACTGGACATTTCTTTAACAGGTCAGTTTTGTACTGAAATTTGCCATTTGGTGTATTGAACACCTATAGTTTGTCTAGTTTATTTCTATAATATGAATTAGAAATGAAATCACTCTTCATATTTTTGATACATAAAATGTTTTATTAGATTTTTCAACACAGTTAAATGGGCTTTAGGACAGTCTAGCAAAGTTTTTAAGTCTTTATAAAACGCACATCTCCTCCATGAGCTTGATTCACTGTTACTGAATTCTTTTATTGTATCAGTTTGTATTGCTTACTGAAAACATGCTACCAGCAAACCTTTTAAAGTTCTTTTTTTTTCTTCCCCTCCTGTGCGCTCCAGAGATTAAAGACAATCCTGATTTACTAAACAAGTATCACAAAGAATTCTTTACCAATGGGAAGTTTCTCTGCTGCAACCAGACATGTAAAGCAGCCCCTGGATGTACCCTCTGGGAGAAATGTAATGAGCCATTTTGTTTGTATTTGCTTTTTGACATGTTAGTCTTAATGGTGCTTTGCATGATATTGGTAAATCTACAAGGATAATTGTAATCAATGGTGGTAAATATAAAAATCTGATCAATTATTCCTCTTGATATTTGTTCTTAACTTCTTTTAACAGCATTGCAATTGTACTATGTAGTTTGATAATATGGCTAGGGGAAAAGAATATAGAACACCTCTATCTCGATATAACACTGTCTTCGGGAGCCAAAAAATCTTACCGTGTTATAGGTGAAACCGCATTATATCGAACTTGCTTTGATCCACCGGAGTGCACAGCCCCACCCTCAGAGCACTGCTTTACCACGTTATATCCGAATTCGTGTTATATTGGGTCACGTTATATCGGGGTAGAGGTGTATGTGAAATACCCATGCTGAGATCATGACAAATTTTTACTGTACCTCCAAAATGCACCAAAAAGAAATCCTTTCTCTTTACTTCGACTTAGTATGCTGAGTTGTTGTTGCTGTTGTTATGGGAGTGGGAGAAAAAAATATCAGAACTTGTCTTTATGGCTGAGTCCAAACAGCCAAATAATCTACTAGCAACATTTGTGTGTCAGTTATAAAGAATTTAACTTCATAATAAATCCAAAATAAAACTGATTTTTTTCATTATATTCATATTTATGGTGGCTACTTTTCTAAACAATGCTATATTCTCCCCCACAAGTCTATTTTTGGTACTCTGTGGAATGTGCATTTATAAGAAATAGGATTACAATAAGAACAGGGGAATCAAAAGAATAGCTGAAAAATCATTTTAATTTTATAAAATGTACTGTGTTGAGGAGCAAGTTTAGTTAGGGAAACTTGCCAGTCAAATTACTCCACAAAATGGTTCTAGGGAGCAGTTGTTTCAAATAATGCACATTCCAGAATCTCATAGAGCATTTATGCATTTCTTTCCTGTGCACCATTTAAAAACAAACATGGTGTATCTGAGTTGCAGACTCCTGCAGTATGTTGGAACAATGTATTTATGGAATGAAGGAATATTTTATGTATTTTATTTTTTGTTTAAATATACATTTTTAAAATACTGGACTGGAAATTAATCACAATTATTTAGCTCATTTATTAGTCACCATAAAGAACCAGAGGAGTAAATTTTCAAAATGGATGCATGCCACGATCTACATATTCGTAAGCACCCTCCCCCCCATCCCATACACACATTATTGCATGCACATTGGATAGCTGAGGCTTACATTTTTAGAAAGTGGACACTTGTTTTGAGTGCCTCTGGTTTGGGAGCGTAACTTGAGAGTTCGAAAGCCCGATTTTTCAGAGGTGCTGAACTCTTGCAGTTCCCATTGACATCGAGGGTGCTCAGCCCCTCTGATAATCAGGCCCCTGTTGTTTCAAGATGGGTCCTCAAAATGACAGGCAACTCTAAGAACCCAATTTGTATGTGTGAGATTGCAAGTGAAAATATAGAGGCCTCTTTTGAAAATTTAGCTCCACTATTTAGTAATAACATCAGTGTCCTATGTATGGACTCAGTGGAGGAACACTAAACAATGCCCTACTATTTTAAAGATTTGCCAGTTGTTGGTTTTTTGTAATTTGAATGGCCGTATGTAACTTCCAAACCAAATATGATATATGCAAATAATGTTATAAAACCCACACACTGCCACAAATAACTGTTTGGTTGCCACTGGACTTCTGCACACAGTAGTAGGTAGAAAAAGAAAACCTTCCAAAAAGTAGGGTCACCATGTATCAAAATTTTTGTTTCTGTCTGAAATACTACAGAATGCAAGAGGGTGTTCTGTCTACTCTAACTTTGCTTCAGAAAAACATCTATTGATGATGATGATGATGCAGGTGCACTGGTGATAGCAACAGTGTGAGAGGGCTAGCGGAGGGAGAATCCCAGGCAGCCTCCAACATATTAACTATCACATTACCTAAAGCATGTTAACCCAACGTGAAGGTAAAATGTTGGTGATCACCAGGGCTGTGTGTCTACTCTAGTAGTCCCACCACTGCTGCCACTAGTGGAGCTACCTAAGTGGAAAAACCTATTGCATGCATGGCCTTGGAGTCATGCAGTAAATTGCTTGTGTTATTTTTTCTTTCCCCCCCAGTTATAGATATGAGTCTACCTAGCACCACCAGCTCTCTGAAACCGCTGCCTCCTGTCCCTGGGAAACTGGTAGGTGACAAACTTTTAGTATCTGCCTACAATGAACTTTGCTTATGGGGGAAAATCCACTCCCTAGCATCCAGCCCAAATAAATGATGGAGAGATCAATTGGGGAAGGATTGGAGAACCTTCTCCCCCAGACAGCTGTTCAACGGAAGCTACTCCAATCTAATCACTGAGTAGAATCAATGTCCTTAGTGGCCACCAGCACAATCCGGGGAAGGACAAGAGTTACACTTAGCAGTCTTCCAGTTCCACCCTTTCTCCACTCATTCCTCACCCTGCCCACGCTTCCCTCTGGGCTGTCGCACAGGAGTGCCTGCAAAGCTGGAAAAGTCTCAGATAGTTTCAATGCATTGCAGTGTGCAGATGTCAGTTTGGGCCATAGCAACCCGCTGCTTCTTGCGAAGTTCTTTGAACAGATTTGCTTTTATGTGCCTGTTTCCATTAAAGTCAATGGGAATTTTACCCCACAGGCTTCAGTGAGAGCAGGCCTGGGCCCAAAATTGTTTATCAAGAGCCCAAATCCTTCCCATTCCAGCAGGTGCAGAGGGCCTCCTGCAGAGTGGAAATGCTGCAGTTCCTCTGTATGGGGAGAGGGCAGGATTACATGTGTCTGTACACGAAATGTGCAGCCTCTGCCACAGAGTGCAGCTCCATGGAGGCTCCTGTTATAGTCATGTACAGAGGCATGTTAGAGGGAACGGGGGTGGTTGTCAGAGACAAGAGTCACGATGGGGATGGAGGATCTGCTACTACACTGATTCTCTGGGTCCTTTCCTCCCTGTAGAGCACAAGATCCATGGAGGTCATTCCAGCACTTAGGCCCAGGTAGTGACTGCAGTGCCACTTCACTGTTGTTCCACGGCCGGAGATTGGGGTTATCTCCACCAAATGTTTCTGTGTCCAGACAAGTCACTCAGGCTTGGAACTAGGGAGAGGGCTTGGGACTAAGAGTTCAATTATATGTCAGGTTTCAGAGTAGCAGCCGTGTTAGTCTGTATCCACAAAAAGAACAGGAGTTAGTCTCTAAGGTGCCACAAGTACTCCTGTTCTTAACTATATGTCATACATCTAAGAGGTGGCTAACAGTACTGCCAATGTCAGGGATTCAAAATTCTTCATTCAGCCCCCCCTTCCCCCCCAGATCACAACATTGGCTTTAAAATAATGAGATTTTTCAAAAAATACATTTGGGGTTCCTTTTATTTACCTTCTGGTTTTTGAATCTCTAGGATACACTCAGGTCACAGTTTCCAGCTTTTCTCTGCAACCACAAGTGCTAGAAATTTTTTTAAAAATGAAAGCTGAGATTCTCACATAATAACTTGACTCCAGCAGCAGGGGATTTAATAAACATACCAAATATCACAAGACTCATGATAAAATCATAAGAACTGGCAATGCTGGGTTAAATATTTTTGTGGGAGTAGGGACTTGGAAAGCATTTATAACTGAGCAAATGGGCTTTTGACACTGGTTCTGATAATGAAGTTTGAGTGTAGTGAGATTGTGAATAAACAAGTTTCAAATGCCATGGGCCATCTTCCCTGACTCCTATCGAAGGATTTTGTTTATCTAAAGATATTATCAGTCATGCAAATCAGCCACTGAACAGGTTGACGCGTATTAGGACTTCCCAGCTCATTATCAAGGAGATGTTTTGAAAGGGAAATTTAAAAAGCAGGGAGTGCTTGTCAGAGACAAAGCAACGTTGTTTCCTGGCCCCAGTCACAAGGCACAGGTCAGGACTACAAAAGTTGTCAAATGACAGGGAGCAGCATCTACTTAGTCCAGCAACTATTAGTGCAAGCCCCCAACACAACTTTGAATAACTTTCTCCTTTTTGCCTTTGCCCCTTTTACTACCCATTCAAATTGCTCAACATACCCAACATCATAATCGCCTAACCCTCCTTCCAAGTCTCTGTTGGATCATGCCCCTCATCCTCCCTCCAAATCTCTGGGGACTCTGTCCTCCTCTTCCCTGTCCAGGTTGTTCTTGGTGCTGTCCTTCTCCCTATGTCCCTGGGTCTCTGGAGTCCTTTTTCCTCAGACCAACATCATATCTCTGCCCTCTTATGCTGGGGCCTGACAGAAGAGGCTACTCCAGGAGCAATTATGGGAGTTGGGGACCATCAGCCGGATTAATGGGCATGAATGTGCCTTCAGAGGAGCCACCAGACAGTTTCCTGACTCTTTGGGAACAGCAATTATTTCCTGACATGAGAGGCAGCTTTTCATGGCTTAGTCTTCTGCATCCCATTTGTAGCCCTTGCTGTTTCTCTCCTGCCCCCTCACGCCTCCTAGCTGGTGGGCAGGGACAGATCCACTGGCCAGTCCTAGCCCTCACTCCAGTCATTCCCTTACCCCCTTCCTGCATCCCTGAGGTTGCAGCCATAGCCATTGAGGAGTTCCACTATTAATTACTCTGTGGCCTTAGTGTGAGGATTCTAGCCTGCTCCTCTCTCTCTCTCTCTTTCTCACACACACACCCCCAATCCCTCTGGGGAAAATTGAACTTATCCACAGTGCTGCTCTCCACATCAAATCCAAGCTGGTAACCAAAAGTGGCAGGCACATAGGCGCCTAAGTCTCATTGAAAGTCAATGGGACTTAGGCTCCTAAGTGACTTGGGCATTCTGAAAATGTTATCTTTAGGCCTCATTCCTACTGCTATTAAAGTCAACAGCAAAACTCCTGCTGACGTCACTGAAAGGCAACTAGGGCTCAGGGTGGTATATTACCTGCAAATCTATATGTTTGTGATGGCCACGCCTTCCAAGACTGGAACCGCGACTTACAGGATTTTTTTTAACAAAAATTCAGGGTTTTTATAATCCCAGCCAGCCCACCACTAAGCCAGGACTCCTCTGGAAATTTTTACAAGCTTAGATCTGTATATGCCCACTGGATTTGACTAAGAGTTTTAAATTATTTTAAGCTGCTTGTTATTGCCTAGTTTTAAACAATTATTTGACTTTCTCATAATGCCGTATGACAAACAACTTAATATTCAGCAAAATAAGTGTGTGCCATGACTTTCCTCTTTTAAACTAACATATGTATTTCCTGCTGTGGCAAAGCCCTGACTCTTCCCATTTTATTCCATGAAAAATAATCAGCCTTGATTATCTGAAATATCAGTTTCTTCTATACCATGTTTAGAAAAGGAAATAACAGACACCGCTATGCAGTAACAGTTGGCTAATACTGATTTCATTTTTAATAGTGACTATTGTACTTGTTATTGATCTAAGGCGCATTTTTAAAAAATGCAACGTGCTATTGTATAATATTACAGCGGAGTCTTTTAGTATGGTCTGCTATCAGCACATTTACATATGGTGGAAGGTACTTACGCTTCATGACTCACAATCACACTACAAGTACATCTACTTTGCAAAATAAGGTGTGTTTTTAACTTGGGTTAGTACCTTGAGTTCAACCCCAGGGTAACCTATAGGCTTGAACTTGAGCTGCTAACCCAAGTTGCCATGTCTTCACTGCTATTTTAACCCAAGTTAGCTAACCTGAGTTAGGAACACACCTATTTTTGCAGTGTAGATGTACCCCAGGTATAAGTATCAGTTAATCCTATTACCATTCCCTTTTATGTAAATTCATCTTCTGTGCTGAGCTACCTGCAACGTGTAACCTTTGCAGTTTGAGCTCATTGTGAGCTCACAAATTGTTAGCTTCAGTTGAGAATGCCCTTACCTCTTCTGGTGTAATTTTAACCCACTGGGCTGAATCCTGTTCTCGGCTATAGTACAAAACCATGCTCCTTGGGTCTTGTAACATAAGGTCTGTGCTGTTGCTAATTTTACAAAATACACAACTCCACATATATTAGAGCAGGACCAAGCCTTGAATATTATTGTAACAGAGTTTGGTTTGTATTTCATTATTTATATTGGACTACAGCTGTTGGAATGTATTTCAAAACAAAGGAAGGAAAAAATTCTTCAGCACACTATGCATTTCTAGTTAACTTGCATTAATTTCTTTGCAGTCACAGAGCTCATTGAAGATGCAAACTGCAGTCTAAATGCTAAAAATGATTTTCTACTGTGATGCACTTCATTGTAATTTTATTTCCTCTGCCTTCAAAAGCTGAAGCATGACAGTCTACCTCCAGTTCCAGCACCAGGTAAATCCTCGCTGAAGATCACTGTGGCCGAGTATGACTATGAACCCAAAGGAAACACTGATATCCAGCTTGTCCGGAACAGCAAGTATTATGTTCTGAAAGACGAGGATCCTGACTGGTGGCAAATAAGGGACATGGAAGGGTAAGTTTACTTTGCACACTCAATAGAGAATATTTGTTCAGTAATGACCCTCATTCCACATCACACCCATCCTTAAACAACCCTGCTGGCACTGGTGCATTCCAGGATCCAATTAAGAACTACCCTGGTGGCTTTTTAAACTTGCTCCAGCTGATCTCATGAGCCTTAATTTTCTCTACACTCCTCCATACTTTTCTTCTCTTACCTTGCTCCTAGCTCCTCTCTGACTCTTGGCACAGTCTTATATAGTTGACACACAGAGCGTCTCTCTGATGCATGTGTATTTAACATGTTGGTATGGCATTTAGAGGAACGTAAAGCCACCTCAGGATTTATCATTTTCATTCCAAAGACTCACAAAAAGTCCACTACTTGCAAACCATATAACAATATGTACGAAGAAGGGGGTTGCTTTCCGTAAGGCTGTTCAAAAATCTGTCCTGCCCCATCTTTGCTTCCATCTCACCTACTTCCACTCCTCTCTGTGAAATAACTAGAATTTTAGCTACCAGATCAGGCAAGAGTGACAATAATCACTGAACAGCCTATTATCTGAACAGTCTCTAGTGGTTTTTATTTTGGTATGTACCTGCAATAGCAGTGGCAGCTTTAGAGTCAATGGAGACTATTAGGAAAGAAGCACTTTTTGCCTTTGGGGTATCCACATGGGGTATAGGGGGGCTGGGAAGGAGTAACCCGAAGCTTTTTGTTGCACATCAGGTAACTTGCAGGATGTGAGTTGCACCAACAGTGTGCATATGGAACGACTGTTCCGTTTTCAGTTCACATCATGTGAACACGTGGCAGCAGTTTGCTGCGAACTGAGGGCATAGCATTCTCCAGAGGTGTCCCAAGGAATGTATTTCCAAGGGCTATGTCTGTGCTTCACTGCTGAGCAGTGTGAATCCTGGGATTGTTTTCACTGTGAATTGTGGAAAGCCAGGCAGGTTCAATTTTATTTAAAAGAATCACGTTTTCACCATCTCCGCCCCACACTTCCTTTCTGGGTGGGCTCGCAACATTTCCCTAATACTGTTGTCCAGCACGGACCCTACAATGCTCCACACCGCCATGGTGATAAGCATGAGTATGCACAGGCTGCTTGGGCTACATTACAGCACTCAGAGCCGGACGAACGCCCGTTGCACCACCCAAGCGAATGACGTGTGAACTGGAGAATATCCTATGGCATCAGCAACAGCTCCTCCAGCAACAGGGGGATACTCTATAGCGGTGGCAGCAGAACAAGGTAGAAGAACAGGAGGATGCCATTGGAACAAGAGGATGAGTTCCTGGATCACCTACACAGCATTCAGTTCCACTTCTGTGCTCAGGAAACCAGTGTGGATTGGTGGGAGAGGATCGTTCTGCAGAGCCGGGGTGACCAGCAGTGGCCATAGAACTTCTGGATGGGGAACCTTTTTTGAGATCTGCATGGAACTGACCCTAGAGCTGCAGCAACAGCGGGTCAACATGCTGTGCCCCACACCGGTGGAGAAGCAGGTCATCGTTGCCATCTCGAAGTTGGCCACCCCATAATGTTACCAGTCTGTAGCCAACCAATTCAGTGCAGGGAGGTCAACCGTTGGGAACATTCTCTGCTAGGCCATTGATAAGGTGCTGTCTAACAAGGTCATGAAGCTGGATAATGCTCAGGAGATTACTGATGGCTTTGCATGCATGGGTTCCCAAACTGTATAGGGGCAAGTGATGGGACCCATGTGCCTATCTTTTGCCCCCCTCCCCTGCCAGGCTGCAGAATTTATAAACAGAAGAGGGTATTTCTCCATGCTGCACCAAGGACAAGTTGACTCACATGGCAGGATGACAGAAATAAATGTGGGGTGCTCTGGAAGCATCCACAATGCTAGCATCTTTTGGAACTCAGTTCCATTTAGATTAATGGAGAAAAGCCTGTTCCCCCTCAGAAGCACTGTGGACATTAATAGCGTGGAGGTTGGGCTGGTTATTCTGGGAGCCCTGATGCCCTGGTTAATGAAGCCATACACTAGCTGCTGCGACAGAAGGAGGGAACATTTTAACTATTGCCTGAGTAATTGCAGAATGGGGGTCGAGTGTACATTCGGTCATTTCAAAGGCAGATGGTGCCATTTATGGAATAGGTTGGAAGCTGCAGATTTTTTTTCCCCAAGCATTCTAACTGCACATCATGCTTCTGCACAATATTTGTGAGAGCGGGGCGGAGGGCGGGAACCATGCTGATGGGTGGGAGGCTGATGTTAAGAGAGACTTGGTTGGAGGTTCGAGCAGCCAGCAGGGCATCCCCTAGAGAACACTAACAGCCAGGAGAATGTTGCCAGGGATGCCTGCTTTCATATTTTGAGTCTTGTGCCTGAACATGGCAGCCTGTGGGGGTTGTGCTGGGACACAGACATTACGAGCACTGGGGGATTGTGTGTAGGTGGTTGAAGTGTAGCGTTCCCTGTGTACTTACGTAAAACCGTATGAGTTATTTCAGCTTTATTTAAAGGATTTTCTGTGTTAAATGCCATGATGACTCATAACAGATGCATTGTGAACTGTTTTTATTATGAAACAACAACAAAAACAAATAATAAGATTTTAATGAAGCCAATGGAAAAATAATGTATTTGTATTTAACTAACCAATCTACTAGCTAACCAACTGTACATGAACCGTTAATTAATGCAACAGTGCGAATATTTCAAATACAATACTGTATTCTCGCCTGTTGCATAAAGTCACAGGTGAGAATACACCTTGCCTCTGGATTCTGGGGTTGAGGGCCATGGCTCAAAGTTGTCAGAGGTGTTGCAGGGCTCCTAGGAGTCAGTGTTCTTGGTGCCCAGAGAAGTGAATGGGAGCTGCCAGCAGCCCTGCTGTGGGGATGTGGAGGTTAGGCATTGCTGCTGGTCCCAGTATCCAGCCTTTTCCAGGGTCCCAAATTACACTGCTTTACAGCCAAAATGCTTCTGAAATAAATGTAGTCACACTTTACTAATTCTGGGTCACTGAGAACGAAAATGATGCTTAAAATTGTTGATTGGCTCTAGTTTTCAAGATATGCTATTGGGTCAGTATATACGACCCTTGACTTGGGAATGGCGGAGGATAAGTGAGTTATAAAGGGAAGGGACCTCAATTTAAACCAGAAATGACTAAAATACATCTTTGACTGGATCTATGAATAAATCTATGACTGGGTTTGGACAGTACTTGCTTTTTAGGCAAAACAATGAATGATGGAATCTGAAGCTGGTATTGCATCATACATGATATGAATTGCATCA